GTCTCAGCAACACCAGGCCCTGCGTTGGGCACCCTACCAACCTGCTTGTTGAAAGAACACAGACCTCAAGCTCTGAGCCACGTCCTGCATCTGGGTTAGCTGTTATTAGAACTAATCGCCATTTAATCTTTATAAACAACAAAAAATCTTATAAACATCCTAGCTTATACACACACACAAAAAAAGACTGAACATGTCCAGAGATTCAAAGCCACACAGCAAGCCAACAGTAGGTCCAAGACTGAAAAATAAAGTTACTAGACTACATAACAAGAAAGGGTTGCTAGGGTTATTGGGGCAGTGGGGATAGTCCCTGAGGTCTTAGGACAGCCATTTTTATAGCTCTGGGTCACTTGAGAGAGGTGAATCTTCAGGGGGTCTTGTCTCTGGCTACCTTGTCTGCTAATGGCTCCAGTACAGAAGAACCAGTGCCAGATACTCGATGTCTCTTGCTCTGTACCTTGAAGACACTGAGGTCTTCCCACCCCAGGGACCCTGGCTTCAGCCTGCCGCTTGCAGCTTTTAATCATGGTAGTGCTCTGATAGGGACTGATAGAGCAGTTGTCTACCAAGCACAAAACCCCGGGTTCTATCCCCAGCACCACAGAAGCCAGGCATCAGCAAAGGCCCTGCCTCCCAGCACATGGAAGGCGGAGGCAGGGTGATCAGGAATTCAAGGCCATGGAATTCATGGACTACATGAAACCCCGTCTCAGGAAATCTAAAACGTACTCTCTAGGGTTGTAATCCGTTGATAGAGCGCCCTCCTAGCAGGCACGCTTTAGGCTTAGCACCCCCATAAGCCTGGTGTGGCAGTACATGCCTGTCATCCCAGCTCTGGGGAGAGAGCTACAGGCAAAAGACCTGGAGTTCAAGGCCAGCCTGAGCTTCCCTTGGGAGACTAGCCACTTGGGAGACTAGCGTAGCAAACATGAGTCTCTGTCTCAAAAAAATAAAAGGAAAAGAGTGGTGGGGACCCTGATACAGACTCTGGCGGCACCTCCCTGGCCTTAGGCCTGTCTGCGGAGCCCCGCAACCCGGCTGCAGCACCCCACGTCCAGTCAAGACCTCTCCCTGAACCCCAGGAAGCCCGGGGGCCCCGCGTCCCTGCCCTGAGACCCTCACCTGCGGGG